AATTCTTTGAGAGATTTGTTCATTTCCTACTTAACTGTCTGTATTTGGTTATTTCTCTGAGAGATTTGTTTTTTGTTTTTTGTTTTTTTTTTTACTCTTTATGTGCCTCTAATAACTGGATAAGCATAGCTTTAAAGTCATTTCCCTGTGTTTCTGAGGAATTGGAGTATCTATTAATTTGAGGGGTTGCTGATGAAGCCATGATGTCCTGATTTTTGTTGGATGTGTTCTTTTGCTGACCCCTGGCTATTTGCTTATCCGTAAGCTTCGCTGTTTGTTCCTGGATTCTGCAGATCAGACTGGTACCATCTTTCTCTGGTGTCTGGAGAATTCTTCAGGAAGATGAGAGAGGTCCAGTGGTTTCAGCATGTGCACTGGTGTTTCAGTTGAACCTGTGGGAGGAAAGTCCGCGAGTGCAGAAGGAGAAATGTGAGCAAGTGTGAATGTGTGCGTGTACGTGGAAGTGTGCCCTGAGGGATGGGGTGCTAGAGAATGTAGGGGCCTCCAGTGTGAGGGAGGGGCGCCTTGCAGGCACTGAAGGGATTGCAGGCGCTAAAGGCATTACAAGCACTGGTGATGATAGTTTTTTAAATATAATGAGGCTTAACAAACACATCAGTAAATAAAATTGTTACAATTAAAGTGTGAACTGCCCCATAAAACTATGGTGTTTCGGTTGGTCACCAGAGAGTGGTGATGTTTTGGGAGGTGGGTTAACTTGAGGACAGAGGCCATTGTCCATGAGTTGGTATACTTCATGTTTATAGAGTGTCCCTGCCCCCGGAGTACAGAGATGTGACAGTCACATTCAGAGGCTCTGCACCATAGAGTTGCCCACAGCCACGCCTTCCCTTCTCAAGAGACCACTTTAGCTCAGATGATGAGTCCAGATATGCCAGTCCTCCCTTGGGAGACTTCTCTTGAGGTACATTGTCATAAGGATCAGGACTAGCTCAAAATATTACTCTGGGCCGAGTCAGATGGATGAACCTCCCCTGTTCTTGATGGCCAAGTAGAAATAAAATAATTTAATTACTGAATATGTAATTAAACTATTTGCGTTAAATTTCATATTTGGTGTTTGAGATTCTTTTGAAAATTTTATGTAAAGAAACATTTTCATTGGAAAATTTTCTTAAAATGATTCTAACTATACAATGTTGGAAATTTAGGATTCGTAAAATGAACTCAGTTGAAACAGCTCTTTGAACTTGATGCAGGAAAGATGAGTGTAGACAAATAATTGGTTGATCCTAAGAACTAGAGAAATTCATATATTTTCAGAAGCAGATGGAGTACGTGGGGTCCTAATCCATACATTGGACAAAGAACAGGACAAATAATGAATCTCCTTTTGACAGTCCTTCCAAATTTTCCTATAAAACATTTTGCTAAACACTATTGATCATAGACTCATATTTGTTGGGTTTTGTTTTGTTTTGTTTTATTTTCCTTGAGCCTGCAGTCAGGGATATTGGCAGCACCCTCCAAAGATGGCCATTGTAATTTCCTCTATTTGTTCTTGGCACATTTCCAATAGACTGATATTTATTTCAAGTGTTACAGGAATATTGAGACATAAATGAGTCAGTCTTTGACAAGTCACCCATGTTGCTACATGCGTTGGTAGTGTGCACCACTAAGCCATGTTTCAGAGTATCCGTATACCATGGCACTTTTTCCTATGCATTCATGAGTGGACAGATTATGCACAGTTTTTACTGTGAACAGTCTCATGGTCAATATTTAGGTAAAAGCTTCTGGAGTTGGCAAATGCTTCATTTTCTCTTGGGTATATACTTAAGAATCATAGTGTAAGTTTGTATTAGATTTTTAAAGAAATTGGTTAACTATTTCCTTTAAGTTTAGTTAAAATATGATTACATCATTTCCTCCTTCCTTTTTCCTTTCCTCCCTCTAAGCTCTCATATCGTTACTTCTTCTAAAATTAATGGCCACTTTGTCTTGATTTATATATGTGTGTGTGCGCACGCACGTGTAAAAAATATACAAACACAACTGGTTCAGTCCTTTTAATGTTGCTTGTATGTATACAATTTCAGGGCTCACCACTTAGTGTTGGATAACCAGTTAGGGTGCTCTATTTGTTTCTGTGCCATCAATGTAGGAAATTCCCAGAGTATCTTCATCTTTAGCAAATTAGTTATTACCTGAATTTGTAAGGTTGATGATTCTATTATGAGTAAAATATTATAAATTGTTAGTTTACTGCTTCTACTAACTAGAAATACTGAGTATGGTTTCATATACCTCTTTTATCATTTATCTCCATTTAATTTTTGTCAATTTTTAAATTTAAACCTTATTAATTAATTAATTATTATAATTTATTCACTTTGTATCCTGGTTGTAGCATCCTCCCTCATCTCCTCCTAGTTCTACCCTCCTTCCGTCTATTCCCTCTATGCCCCTCCCATAGTCTACCAATAGCGGAGGGTCTCCTCCCCTTCTATCTGACCCTAGCCTATCAGGTCTCATCCTAACTGGCTGCATCTTCTTCCTCTGTGGACTGGCAAGGCTGCAACCCCCAGAGGGAGGTGATCAAAGAGCCAGCCACTGAGTCCATGTTAGAGACAATCTCTGTTCTCCTTACTAGGAAACCCATTTGGAAACTGAGCAGCCTATGAGCTACGTCTGAGCAGAGGTCTAGGTCCTCTCCACGCACTGTCCTTGGTTGGAGTATCAGTCTCTGCAGGATCCACTGGGCCCAGATTTTTTGGCTCTGTTGGTCTCCTTGTAGAGCTCCTGCTCCTTCCAGGTTTTTCTATCTCTTCTTTTTCCATAAGATTCCCTGCACTCTGCCCAAAGTTTGGCTATGATTCTCATTATCTGCTTTGATACCCTGATGGGTAAAGTCATGAACTACATTTGGCTATGAGTCTCAGCATCTGCTTCAATCCCTGCTGGATAGATTTTTTCAGAGGCCCTCTGTGGTAGGTTCCTGTCCTGTTCCCAGTCTTTCCCACTTCTCATGTCTATACTATTTGCCTTTCTGAATGAGGAGTAAGCATCTTCCCTCAGGTCCCTTTTTTTGTTTAGTTTCTTTAGGACTATCAATTTTAGTGTGTTTATCCTATATTACACGGCTAATACACTTATAAGTGAGTATATACCATGTGTGTCTTTCTGCTTCTGATTTACCTCACTCATTATTGAGATTTGAAATGCCTTAATTTATTTTGAGAATAAGGACTTCAAAAATATATGATTTGTATTTGTTTTCTCTCAATTTGTGGCTTGTATTTTCAAGTTCTTAGTGATTTCCTTTAAAGGTGTGTGTGTGTGTGTGTGCCTGCACACACACACGTAAGCATGTGTGTGTTAATTTCATTGAGAAGTGACTCCATAGGCTCATGTGTTTTTGAACCTGGTTCCCAGTTGGTAGTGCTGTTTGGGAGGTTATAGAACCCTTAGGAGCCTTGCTGGAGGAAATGGGTTCCTGGAGCTAGGTTATCATGGGTCCCAATTTTGGTTCTCTCTGTGCCTCCTGTGCAGATTAAATAACTACAGCGCCTTCCCTGCCATAATGGAATGCCTATTCTCTGGAATTGTAAAGCAAGATAAGCCTTATCTTTCCCAACATGTTACCTATTCTGTGTAGGAATATTTTATCACAGCTGAAGAAAAGTGACATACGGAAACACAGACACATACACAAAGACACACACACAAACACACATGCTCGGGCACACAGACACACATGCACACAGTGCTGAGGGTGGAACCTAGGCCCAGTTTTCTGCTAGGCTGAGGAGCAAACCAAGGTTGCTGAGCCTAGTATTCAAGTGCTCTACCAACTAAGCTTCTTTCCAGACAAAAGATCTATTTGAGATGGCTCTCATTATAGCAGAGGGGATTTATCCAGAGGCTTTTTTTTTTCCGGAATGATGCACTTCTTCAACAAGTTCTGAATATAAAATGCAGCTTGAAGAAAGTCTTCAGCAAGAATACCCTTTTCTTTAAGCTCAAATGGCCTGGTAAACTTCTCCATGAATTTTGAAGGAAGTATCAGCTTGTCACTTTGATAATAAACTTCAGAATAATGTACACAGCTGTTCTATTTCCAGGTGTGTTTGTGAAAATTTTCATTCAATGAATAGCAAAGGATTCATTGATATCCATCCAGATGAGATATTTATTTCACGGGGCTATATTTTCTTTTGTTATGTGCCAGAGTTATCCTTCAACTACACGTGAGAAACTGGCTGTTTTGTATGCATCTTTAATACATAACTCTAAATAATTATTGTATTTTCACTTTGTCTCTTCTCCATCTTTCTCTAACACACATATATATTGTGACCTAACACTGTTTAAAAATCCAAGTAACTTCACATAGTACTTACATGTGCTAACATCAGCTCAATTAAAATCTGGATGACTTCTGATTGAAACAACTTTTTATATAGTATAATTCTTCTATTAGAAGTCTTATTAACACACCATCATTTTTAAAATTATTATTTCTATTACTTTGCTTGTCATATTCTGACCTTGGAAGCTTTTTATTTAAAACCCTTCTCGGAAATCTCACAATTCTGAAAGTGAATTGTCAAAAATAATTAAGAAAAATGGTGAAGTATGCACCCGACTCAAGAATATATCCTTCCTAACATGTTGCTGCTTTTAACTGAATTTAATTTCAAGTCATCTGAAGAATTATGAAGCTATTAGCTGAGCAATTCCCGCAAAAGTAAAAACACCCGGAGCTTTGGACTAGACACTAATGAAGAGAAGTAGGTCGCTGGTGCTAAGATTTCTTATCTTTCACAAGCATTATCATGTTCAACCTCATGACCATTTTACAAACACTCATGAGACTGCAATGAGATTTCCAAGACCTTCTCGTATCATGCAATCTGCATTTATTTCTCACCCCAAGAAAGAAGAAGACAAAAGGAAAAAAATCCCCAAACAGACCTCGAGCTAGCCAAGGAAACTTGCCCAGAAAACACTGTGGGTGACAAGGCATCACTCACCGCCTTCCTGTGAGAATGGGCAGGACATCATTGGACGTGGCTTCAGTGATTTTAAATGCAACTTTCCTCAAATCTGAAATACCGACAGCCATGTCCTCCAGCATTCCAATTTCATCACCTACACGGGGAGAAAGTTACTTTGTTACTAAAAGACTATTAAAATAAAATGCAGCTCACTGTGCTGCCTCCCTGCTGGAATTCTTTTTCTGGGAGTTTAGTGAATGAGTTTCTCAGTGAGTCCATTCAGCACTTTCCCTGATCAGCTGAGAGGTTCTTCTTCAGTAAAATAAGAATGGTTTCAATGGATTCCAGAAGCCAATATTCCCTGTGAGGGAAGCAGAATGCTCATCTTTGTTGGAAGGCTAGAAAGAGATTTCCAAGCCTGTTTTGAAGCAAAGTATCATTTAGACATATTTTTATTGACAGGACTGTTATTTGATTTTTCTTTTTCTTTTTTCGTTTTTGTTTTTAAGAATAGAGAAAGCTGCAATGATTATTTCATCAATTGATCAATTATCTAATGCTAATCTCATCTTCCACACTGAAAAATATAGCCTGGAGACATAATATATTCTAGATTAGCCTAATCCAATATTAATAGAATGTGAGTTACATATATAACTGCACATTTTCTGGTATTCATGTCTTTAAAAGAATAAGATGAAACAAAGCAACACTGATTTTAATAATATATTGTATAGAATCCCAACGTATACATATTACAGATTCAGATGTAAAGCAATATAAACTTCTTAATATCTAATACAAAATGCTATCTTTGTTAGTCTTTGAAATCTGATGTTAATGTCTGGGACACATGTAGATGCATGTAGAGCTCTCCATAAACTTATGGGGCTCACATATTGAACAGCACAATAGTAGACATAAGGCTACTGTGTGTTTAAAATGCAACCAATGCAACCAATGTTGTCATTGGGTCTCTATATTTAAAAAAAATCCATGTCGCCACTCAAGAGTCCACTCAGAAATATTCCACAATTCTATTTTCAAAACATAATGTGAATCCAAAGGAAATGCCAATGGAAATGGGTACGAAATTTAGAAGCTGCCTTGTTTCTGTAATACTTGGCACAGAGAAGGTTCACTGTTTATTTGGATCTGAAAAAACTGAGGTATTATCACTACAAATAGCAATAAGATCTCAATCTGAGCTCATGCAGTACTTACTGTAGGTACTTAGCAGTCCTTCATACTGTACTATCAAGCCCACTGTGTGAAGCTGCTGCAGGAAGTCAGGGTCATGCAAACTTGTATGCAATTTGATGATAAAACCACAAACCAATCCAGCAAGCTAAGAAAACAAATCATTCAAGAAATGCACTAGAGTCAGTGATCTTTTTACTTCAGTTTTTAAGCATTTTCAGACTTTTGAAACACCAGGAACTTAATTAAAATTTCTCAAGTGAATATAACAAAGCTGTTAGAATTTGTACATATTTATAAAATAAATTGATGGACTTTGATCTAGGATGGTATTCTCTAAGGGCTTTGGAAGACAGGATTGAAAGAAAGCTAGAGCTAGATAAAGGGATTATAGAATCAAGATGGGAAACCTTTGAATTGTATGTCTACCATCTGTAACCATGTCACCATTAAACTCTCCTAAGATTTTCAAATTATGCTATTATTGTGTTTTTGCACATGTGACTAGAGTCACTAACAGGCCATCATGAGCAAACAGGCTTAAGGGGGAGTGCAATACCTGGTTAGCTACATCTGTCACTGGATCAGGCAATGGGGTAAATTGATTAAAATATTCCCTCTTCACAGACTGCTTCACAGTGAGGTATTGCTGTCTCCTTCCCTCCATGTACTTGACCTCTGAAACTGACTTGTGGGGAGGAAAGATGGAAGGAAAAGGAAAGCAGGGAGCCCTGCCCTGGCAGTAGAGTTGGTCTTGGAGTAGTGATTAGGGTTGGATATAGGCAATGAGAATAATTCTGCCATTGTTATGAACTAGTCTTGCAGCCTTGCAAACTTATAAGTGAATGAATAGATGAATGTGAAACCCTGTCTTGAGCCTTATGAGAAAGCTGAATAAATAAAGGTTTGTATACAAACATCCCATTTGCTGAGTTGTTGAAGTGCAGGGCAACAGTCCCTTCCTTTTCCCCCATAGGCTGTCCCAGGGAATGAGACAAGGGACAGCATCTCTTCCTCACAGACTCCATCCACTGCTCAAGCAAAATACACATTTCATATTGAGCTGTGTGTCTTTTAAGAAAGAAATACCTAATTTATTCATATAAACAAAACCTAGGTACCAGAATTTCAAAAAGGATCTTTAAAAATAAAAGCCTGAAAAGAGCTTTACTCTTATTAAGGGTGGGACACGAACAGCTCAACACTGTTCCACAGGAACAGCATCAGGCACCCACCGCCTGACTGAAGACAATGTCTCTCCTCAGAGTCAGCATAAGACACTGCGGCAGGCTGTAGGCGAGTTCCTGAAGCAGCACAAATGTCAGGGATTGCTTTGCCCGGCTCACCACTTCTCCCATGCACTCCTTCAGGGTAAGGATGAGTGGGTGCAGCTGTTCATACCAGTCCTCTGTGACAGGGACTGTGGGGAAGAAGAGAAACAGTCTCTGAGTATGGAACTAATATGTTTAGTGAACTTATACAGCCTATCAAAGACTCATGAAGATTAGGGTTAAATATCACTAAGTCCTGTGACTCCCCAGAACTCAAAAGTCTACAGGCAGTTTCCTCCTGGATCTGTGCACCTAGACATGTATCAGACATGACCATAGGCTACCTTTCTGCTTCCCTCTTCTCTAATGTGGACGGTACCTGTCAGGCTGTTAAAGGCATCCATTTCTTTTTATGCTGGAGACAGAAATTTTGCTGGATTTCTGCCAAAGATTTCATAGAAACTTCACCATCAAATCGGGTTTTCTCCCATAGTGGCTCATCTGCTAATCTTCCCCTTGTTCTGTCAAACATGCACTGTTATCCCTAGGATCCATTCCTGGCTTTGCCCCAGTTTACTCTCTTCCTGCTTCCATCATACATAGCTCATGTCCTTCCTCTGTAATGTGGATGGAAGCTTTTTAATCAGTTTGAATTCCATTTCATTTTTCCCTCCCTTTATACAGAATATATAAAGCAACAAAAGCCAATCAAGCACGACAAATTATATGGAGAATAAGTCCAAGTTACTGAAGAATCCTCCACAATCTGACCTCTGCATGCTTATCAAGTATCACCGTAGAAAATTGCTCTCAGTGTTGAGTTCTAAGAGTATTAAAATATCCCCCAACCTACCCTACTTTCTCACCCCAGGGGTTTTGAAAACATTCTCTCTTCCAGAAGTTTTTTTTATATATATAAGGTTTTTGTTATTATCATTTATTACAGTTTATTCACTCTGTATCCCAGCTGTAGCACCCTCCCTCATTTCCTCCCAATGCCACCCTCCCTCACCCTCCCACACCTTCCCCTATGCTCCTCCCCTAGTCCACTGATAGGAGAATTCCTCCTCCCCTTCTATTTGACTCTGTCCTATCAGGTCTCCTTAGGATTGGCAGCATTGTCTTCCTCTGTGGCCTGGCAAGGCTGCACACCCAGGGAGAGGTGATCAGAGAGTCTGCACTGAGTTCATGCCAGAGAAAGCCCCTGCTCCCCTTATTAGGGAATACACTTAGAGACTGAGACTATGGGCTATCTCTGAGCCTGGGTTTTAGGTTCTCTCTATTCATTGTTCTTGGTTGGGATATCAGTCTCTGCAGAGTTCCAATGGCTCATTTTTATGGCTCTGTTTGTCTCCTTGTGGAGCTTTTGTCCCTGCCAGGTCTTTCTATCTCCCCCTTCTTTCATAAACTTTGAGCAGAGTGCAGGTATTCTTATGACAGATGCTTTCTTTTTCTCTACTTATCTCTCTGACAGTTTATCTTCTCTGAAGATAAACTTTAAAACTTAGTTTGAAACTTCTATCCTCAAGGAAATCGGCTTCCTCCAATTTTGGTCTTTGCTGAAGCTTGGGTGTGGTTGTCTCTTTCTGTGCAGCTTCATTATGTTACTTCTGTGAAAACCTTTAAAAAAGCTCAGTGAGGTAAAGACTATTGTTTTTTGTTTTGTTTTAATTATCAAATCTCCAGAAACTAGCAGAGATCCAGCTTTTAGCAGAAAACCCAATTTATTAAGGAATGGGTCAATTTACGACAAATATGGTATGTGTTTTAGTAAAATACAGGTATATATGAGAAAGCTAAACTTTTGATATTGTTAGTTTCAAATAGTGTTTTAAATAATTACTCATGTGACTGTGTGTATGTGTACAATGTATGTGCATGTGTGTATAGGTATGTGTGTCTCTGTCCCTGTGTAGAAGACAGATGTTGAGGTCTTTGATCCACTTGGACTTTAGTTTTGTGCAGGGTGATAAATATAGATCTATTTGCATTTTTCTACATGTAGACATCCAGTTGTACCAGCACCATTTGTTGAAGATGTTGTTTTGTTTTTCCATTGTATGGTTTTGGCATCTTTGTCAAAAATCAAATATCTCTAGGTGTGAGGGTATATTTCTAGGTCTTCTATTCAATTGCATTTGTCCATAATTCTGTTTCTATTCCAGTACCATGCAGTTTTTATTACTAATGTTTGGTAGTACACCTTGAGCTCAGGGATGGAATACCTCCAGATGATCTGTTGTACAGGATTGTTTTAGCAATTCTGGGTTTTTTGTTTTTCCATATGAAATTGAGAATTGTTCTTTCAAGGTGGGTAAAGAAATGTGTTGGTATTTTGATGAGATCAAAGAACTCAACATAAAACCAGACACACTAAACTTATTAGAAGAAAAAGTGGGGAAGAACCTTGTACTCATTGGCAGAGGAGAGAACTTCCTGAACAGAATACCAACAGCACAGGCTCTAAGATCAACAATCAATAAATACGACCTCATGAAACTGAAAAGCTTATGTAAAGCAAAGGAAACTGTCATCAGAACAAGATGACAGCCTATAGATTGGGAAAGATCCTCACCAACCCTATATTTGACAGAGGGCTAATATCCAGAATATATAAAGAACTCAGGAAGTTAAACAGCAACAAATAAAGTAATCCAATTAAAAATGGGGTACAGGGCTAAACAAAGAATTCTCAATAGAGAAATATCAAATGGCAGAGAAACACTTAAAGAAATGTTTAACATGCTTAGTCATCCAGGAAATGCAAATCAAAACAACACTGAGATTTCACCTGACACCCATCAGAATGTCTAAAATAAAAAACTCAAGTGACAACACATGCTGGAGAGGTTGTGGAGAAAGGGGAACCCTCCTCCATTGCTGGTGGGAATGTAAACTTGTACAACCACTTTGGAAATCAATCTGGCACTTTCTCAGACAATTAGGAATAGCGCTACCTCAAGATCCAGCTATATCACTCCTAGGCATATATTGAAAAGATGCTCAAGTACACAACAAGAGCATTTGTTCAACCATGTTTTAGCCCCTTTATTTGTAATAGTCAGAACCTGGAAACAACCCAGATGTCCCTCAATGGAGGAATGGATATAGAAACTGTGGCACATTTACACAATGGAATATTACCCATCAATTAAAAACAAGGAAATTATGAAATTTGCAGGCAAATGGTGGGAACTAGAAAAGGTCATCCTGAGTGAGGTATACCAGAAGCAGAAAGACACACATGGTGTATACTCACTTATAAGTGGATACTAGACCTAATAGATAGGATAAACATATTAAAATCTGTACACCTAAAGAAGATAAACAAGAAGGAGGACCCTGAGTAAGATGATCAAACCTCACTTAGAAAGACAAATGGGATGGACATTAGAAGTAGGAGAAAACAAGCAACAGGACAGGAGCCTACTGCAGAGGGCATCTGAAAGACTCTACTTAGCAGTGTATCAAAGCAGATGCTGAGACTCATAACCAATCCTTGGACAGAGTGCAGGGAATCATATGAAAGAAGGGGAGTTAGTAAGATCTGGAGTGGATGAGAGCGCCACAAGGATCAAACATATCTGAGCACAGGGGCTTATATGATACTGTTTCTCCAGCCAAGGACCATGCATGGATTTAACCTAGAACCCCTGCTCAGATGTATCCCATGGTAGTTCAGTCTCCAAGTGCATTCCCTAGTAAGGAGAACAGGGACTGTTTCTGACATGAACTCAGTGGGGAGCTCTTTGACCTGCTCCCCCAAGGGAGGTCGCAGCCTTGCTAGGCCACAGAGAAGGACATTGCAGCCAGTCCTGATGAGATCTGATAAACTATGGTCAAATGGAAGGCAAGGAAGACCTCCCCTATCAGTGGACTTAGAGAGGGGCAGGGAGGAGATATAGGAGGGAGGATAGGTTGGGGGTGGATGAGGGAGGGGGTTCAGCAAGGTACAAAGTAAATAACCTGTAATTAAGATAAAAAAATTAAAATTAAGAAAAAAAAAAACCAAGAAAATCATGAAATTTGCAGGCAAATGTAGGGATCTAGAGAAGATCCTCCTGAGTGAGGCATCCCAGAAGCAGAAAGACACACATGGTATATACTCACTCATAAGTGGATATTAGACATATTAAGATAATCATACTAAAATCTGTATATCTAAAGAAGCTAATCAAGAAGGAGGACCCTGGGTAGGATGATCAATCCTCACTCACAAAGGCAAACGGGATGGACTTTGGTAGGGGGAGAAAACAGGGAACAGGACAGGAGCCTATCACAGAAGGCCTCTGAAAGACTCTACCCACAAAGGTATCAAAGCAAATACTAAGAATCATAGCCAAATTTTGGGCAGACTGAGGGGAATATTATGAAAGAAGAGGGATGTAGACAGACCTGGAGGGTATAAGAGCTCCACAAGGAGAGCAACAGAACCAAAAAATCTGGGCCCAGGAGTCTTTTCTGAGATTGATACTCCAACCAAGTACCCTGTATGTAGATAACCTAGAATCCCTACACAGATGTAGCCCAAGGCAACCCAGTCCCCAAGTGGGTTCCCTAGTAATGGGAACAGGTACTGTCTCTGACATGAACTCAGTGGCTGGCTCTTTGATCACCTCCCCCTGATGGGGAAACAGTTTAACCAGGTCACAGAGGAAGGCCATGCAGCCCGTCCTCATGAGACCTGATATGCTAGGGTCAGAGGGAAGGGAAGGAGGACCTCTCCTATCAGTGGACTTGGGGAGGAGCATAGGAGAAGAAAAGGGAGGGAGGGTAGGATAAGGAGGGGATAAGGGAGGGTGCTACAGCTGGGATACAAAGTGAATAAACTGTAATTTATAAAAAAATAAAGAAAATTTTAAAAATAAATAAAATTTACCAATTAAGAACATAAAAAAAAAGACAGATGTTAACATCATGCATCTTCCTCTATTGCTCCCATTTACTTACTCATTAGTTAACGTCTCTGGCCAATGAGCTCCAGGCTCTAGCCTTTCTCTCTGATTGAGGTATAGGTGTACCTCACTATTCTTGGCCTCTTTCTGGGGTGCTTTTGGATTTTGTTTTGTAAATTTTAAGTAATGAAGAAGGAGTGGCAAGATTGGATCCAAACTAAAGTCTTCACTTCAGCTTTTCACAGCAAAAGGTT